ATACCAACATATCTTCCGTCTGACCCAGAGGCATAATTTGCACAGGTAGAGGCCTTCTTTGACGCTTACAAGGTAACTAACGACGCAGAGCAAGATGCACTCACTGTGATGGCATTGCCTCCAGACACCATTCAGGAGGTACGAGCTGTGGTTATAACACCGCTAACCACATACAGATTTGCCACCCTGAAGACTGCTTTATTCGCTACAGCTAAGGTATGTAGAAGCCGCCAGCGTGACCTGCTCCTCACCAATAGTAGCTATTGCAGCCTCGGGGACCAGACACCATCCCAAATGCTTCAGAAAATGCAGCTCTTGCTACGGCCGGCGAGTGGAACATTTGACCAATGACCTGCTCCGGGTTCTGTTCCTACAACGTTTGCCCTTACACATTCGCATGCTACTCTGCTACTTTGTGGCCTCGTAGCCTGGTGGATAGCGCGCAGGACTCGTAATTCTGTGGGGCGGGTTCGATTCCCGCACGAGGCATAAACAAATGGCCAAAGTTTCTTTCACCCTGAATGCCCCTGTTACCTAGCAGTAAATAGGTACCTGGGAGTTATAGTCAGCTGTCACGGGCTGCTTCCTGGGGGTGGAGGCCTGGTCGAGGACCGGGCCGCGGGGACACTAAAGCCCCGAAATCATCTCAAGATAACCTCAAGATAACCTCAAGATACTCCTTGCGCAGAGTGACGACGTGACACCAGAGAGCTTGGCGAGAATAGCAGACCGAATCCATAGTGCACCAGGCTACTCACTCTGCTCAGGGAATACTCTTGCCTCTAACCACTCGACAGTGACGACCCAAATGAACAGCCAACATCTCAGTGGTATTCAGAGCCGCTAACATTCCCAATGCAGGTCCCGCAGCCTGTCCTTGATGCCCAACTCCAACTCAGACTACTGCTACTACCATCGCAGGTTTGGGGCTTGAGCCCGGAACTGCTGCCAACTGTGTGCCTACTCGGGAAACGGTTCTGGCGAGGTCTGCTAACGGCTAAAACTGTAGTGAATGTTTACTAACCAATAATTTATATGGTTGACTACATATGAACCATAAACCCCCTTAATGTGTAAAGGAGTCGATTTGTGGGAATTTTAAGAAATACAGGCAGCTTTAAACCATCATACAATTTGCTATCGAAATGTACAAATTAACATATATATATATAAATAAATTACCACATAAACTCATATAAATTAAATAATAATAAATCTCACAGGTCAATTCCCCACAGGTGTGATTTCTTATGCCATCACAACCTCTTTGTGAATACGACGTGAGGTGGGCTCCAGTGGGGGCTGGCCTGCAGATTAATTTACAACTATGGCCTGCAGATTAATTTACAACTATGGCCTGCAGATTAATTTACAACTATGGCCTGCAGATTAATTTACAACTATGTCCTGCAGATTAATTTACAACTATGACCTGCAGATTAATTTACAACTATGGCCGGCAGATTAATTTACAACTATGGCCTGCAGATTAATTTACAACTATGACCTGCAGATTAATTTACAACTATGACCTGCAGATTAATTTACAACTATGGCCTGCAGATTAATTTACAACTATGGCCTGCAGATTAATTTAGAATATGCATTTTCGGAGTGCCTAAGCTCAACTTCTTGGGACACCGAGTGTCCTCCACAGGTATTCTGCCACTGGAGGAGAAGATCGAGGCTATCCGAGATTTTCCGACACCCACCACATAACTAAGAAGCTTCAGCAATTCCTGGGTGTGGTTACTTTTTACCATAGGTTTATCCCACATTGTTCTGACATCCTGAAACCTTTATATGACCTCTTGTGTGGGCATAAGCAGGCGTACAAAGTACTCCTGTCATGATCACCATAGGCCGAGGTAGCGCTCACCAACCTTAAGCAGGAGCTAGCTCAACTCACTCTCCTCGCCCATCCAGTGTTCGATGTGCCAACTAGCCTCTCAACGGATGCCTCCAACACTGCTATAGGAGCAGTACTCCATCAATTTATCGACGATACCTGGCGTCCAATTGCTTTCTTTCCAGCAAGCTTAACGTCGGAAGAGACAAAATACAACACATTTGACAGGGAACTCCTTGCTATATATGCAGCTATTCAACACTTCAGGCATTTTCTTGAGGGACGTGACTTCCATGTCCTCACCGACCACAAGCCTCTGGCTGACGCCCTGGCAGCAAAAGGAGATTCCCTTTCGCCGACAATCACTCGACTCTTCAGCTACATATCCCATTTTACGGTTGACATCAGGCACGTGAAAGAGACTGAGAATGTCGTTTCCGATGCTTTCTCTCTCGACCCTGGCATATGTGCACTTTTTCCCAGACGACCCACATTGACTACGCAGAGATTGCTTGAGCTCATCGACATGACCTGGAACTCCTACAATTGCGGACCTCTTCCCTCAGCACTTCGGCTCGTCGACGTACCTGTGTCTAATTTCGAGGATACTATCACATGTGACACGTCTTTCATTGGCGTCCTACGGCCATTTATTCTAAGGACCCATCGGCGGAGGATCTTCAGAGCTCTCCATGCCTTGCCTCACCAGGGCATCTGAGCTACACTACGCCTCCTGACTAAACGAATGGTATGGTCAGGAATTAATACTGATGTTCGAAGTTGGGCTCACAACTGCCTCCAGTGTCAGGAATGAAAGATACATCGACAGACAGACGTCTCTTCAGAACTTTCCTATACCATCGGCCAGGTTTGAGGTGGTGCATGTGGATATTGTCGGTCCATTTCCATGGTCCAATGAGTGTTCATACCTATTCACGTGTGTTGATCGCTTCTCCAGATGGCCCGAGACAGTTCCTATTGTGGAGATGACAGCTGAGTCGGTAGTTCGGGCTTTTCTTCATGGGTGGGTCTCCCGTTTTGGAGCCCCTGCATCAACTGTTATGGACCAGGGTCGACAATTTGAATCACACTTGTGGAGGGAACTCATGCGGTTCCTTGACACACAACCAAACTTCGGCCTACCATCCTCAGATTAACGGGATGGCCGTAGTTTGCGGGTATTGTCACAGACTGAGTTGAAGGCGGCTTTAAGGACACAACCAGACGCGACTTTATGGATTGACAACATTCCTTTGGTTCTCCTCGGCATCCGTTCGGCAACTAAAGAGGACAGTGTGTTCTCAGCGGCTGACATTGTGTATGGTACCAATCTTGACCTTCCTGGTGTTCTGATCAATCCAACACCATACAATGAGCTGAGAGACACATTGGCCTTCATGGAGTGGCTTCAGAGGGCGATCACAGATTCACCCTATCCCGCCCCTCCCCTCGTTACCCATCTACACGCCCTACCTACATACTCCCAGGACGTTCTCTCTGCTAGTCATGTGTTTCTGAGGGTTGACGCGGTGCGTCAGCCGCTACAGCAGCGATACGAGGGACCTTTCCGGGTGCTGTCCAGGATTCTGAAAACCATTACCATCGACCGTCGGGGTGCTGAAGTGGTTGTCTCGATCGATCGGGTGGAAGCAGCAGATTTTGACCCCCATGCCAGCAGTGGCGGCCCCAGCGGCTGCTGTGGAGGAGGTCTGGTACCCACACCAACAAATTGAATCCCTACCAGCAGCGGACCCTCTTCCTGAAGATGCACATACTGATTTTTTCATCTACCAGTAACATCTCCAAATCCGAGCCACCCAGCGACCACTGATGACAGCATGGACGACAGCGACGGCGTTGTCAATGTGGAGGGTCGCACTACTCGCACTGGGCGTACCGTGCACCGCCCTGCCCGTTTCCTGGACTCTCTGGTACCTCATCGTCTGGGGGGGGGAGTACTGTAATGACTTCAGTACCCCCTAAAACACGCCGGAGTTCAGGGAAAATGGCAGAGGAGCAGGAGAGAGACAACCGATCAGCGGTAGAACAAAAAGTGGATGAACACGAGATCAGACACTCTCTCACACCCTCCTTGGGTTTGTACAGTTATAGAATATGTCTGTGTGTGTGAATCAGAGACTTATGTTTACTTAATGTCCTTTATTATATCGATTGTCTGAACGTAGATGTACACAACATCCACAGGTGCCAGGGATGGTACAATATTGAGTACACAACATCCACAGGTGCCAGGGATGGTACAATATTGGTGCCAGGGGTGGTACAATATTGTGTACACAACATCCACAGGTGCCAGGGATGGTACAATATTGTGTACACAACATCCACAGGTGCCAGGGATGGTACAATATTGTGAACACAACATCCAGAGGTGCCAGGGATGGTACAATATTGTGTACACAACATCCACAGGTGCCAGGGATGGTACAATATTGTGTACACAACATCCACAGGTGCCAGGGATGGTACAATATTGTGTACACATCATCCACAGGTGCCAGGGATGGTACAATATTGTGTACACAACATCCACAGGTGCCAGGGATGGTACAATATTGTGTACACAACATCCACAGGTGCCAGGGATGGTACAATATTGTGTACACAACATCCAGAGGTGCCAGGGGTGGTACAATATTGGGTACACAACATCCACAGGTGCCAGGGATGGTACAATATTGTGTACACAACATCCACAGGTGCCAGGGATGGTACAATATTGTGTACACAACATCCACAGGTGCCAGGGGTGGTACAATATTGTGTACTCAACATCCACAGGTGCCAGGGATGGTACAATATTGTGTACACAACATCCAGAGGTGCCAGGGATGGTACAATATTGTGTACACAACATCCACAGGTGCCAGGGATGGTACAATATTTAGAGAATGCTCATCTTCATGTATTCGCCACAGAAGCATGTTATAAAGCTTATTTTTTGTGTTTCATGAGTAAGCCAGCTTACATGAGCAAAAATATGATCCCACCTTTCTTTAACAGACGTTATATATAATATCATCGGTGTGTGCACTAGGAATATTATGCGCAGGTTTATCGGTTTCGATTTGTATTCAGAACATACAGAATTATAGGTACAGATTCATGTTTTGTTTTGTGTATTCAACAGAATCCAAGTCCAGAAGAGAGTGCCTCCTTTTTCAGTCGCATCACGTTCTCGTGGTTGGATTCCTTAATCTGGCGAGGCTACAGGAAGCCTCTGGTGCAGGCCGACACCTGGGACCTCTCCTTCAAGAACACCTCTCGATACACCGTTCACAAGTGGGACAGTAACTGGAAGAAAACTTTAAAGAACGTTGACAAGTAAGTTATATGTGCTATGTATATGAAACTGCTTTCTAATAATAACAATGGCATAGTATGGGTATATTTTGCTAATTATATAGGCCAGATTGACGAAGCAGTTACGCAAGTACTTACGAACGTTTACATCTTCCTCAATCTTTGACGGCTTTGGTTACATTTATTAAGCAGTTTACAATCATGAAAACTTCCGAATCAACTGTCGTTATTGTTATAAACAGCCTTCTGGTGTTTAGGAACTCATTAACTGTTTAAAAATTGTAAACAAAGCCGCCATAGATTGAAAAAAGATGTACTGGTTCGTAAGTGCTTGCGTAACTGCTTCGTGAATCTGGCCCGTTTAAAGTTGAGTTTGCGGCACGGCCAAAAGCTGAATTCGTTTATATCCGACAGGGGTAAAGCGCTTGATCTTTCAGCTTGACCTTACAAAGACTTGAAGCCATGGTCTCAGACAAGTAACTAAACATCTTCCCGCCTTCTCCAGAAAGAAGCAGAAGTCAGAGTCGCGAGCAGCCGGACACCAGGTGGAGATGGCGGTGCGGGGCACCCAGCCCACCAAGAGGAAGCCAGTGTCGGTCCTGCCTACCATGGTCCGAACGTTCGGTTCAACCATGGTGTTCGGGGTCATACTCAAGACCATCTATGACATAATGCAGTTTGTCAGCCCTCAGATCCTGCGGTGGGTGTTGTGTTTGTCAGCCCCCAGATCCTGAGGTTGGTGGTGTGTTTGTCAGCCCTCAGATCCTGTGGTGGGTGGTGTGTTTGTCAGCCCTCAGATCCTGAGGTGGGTGATGTGTTTGTTAGCCCTCAGATCCTGTGGTTGGTGGTGTGTTTGTCAGCCCTCAGATCCTGAGGTGGGTGATGTGTTTGTTAGCCCTCAGATCCTGTGGTTGGTGGTGTGTTTGTCAGCCCTCAGATCCTGTGGTGGGTGGTGTGTTTGTCAGCCCTCAGATCCTGAGGTGGGTGGTGCGTTTGTTAGCCCTCAGATCCTGTGGTTGGTGGTGTGTTTGTCAGCCCTCAGATCCTGTGGTGGGTGGTGTGTTTGTCAGCCCTCAGATCCTGTGGTGGGTGGTGTGTTTGTCAGCCCTCAGATCCTGTGGTGGGTGGTGTGTTTGTCAGCCCTCAGATCCTGAGGTGGGTGGTGTGTTTGTCAGCCCTCAGATCCTGTGGTGGGTGGTGTGTTTGTCAGCCCTCAGATCCTGTGGTGGATGATGTGTTTGTCAGCCCTCAGATCCTGAGGTGGGTGGTGGGTTTGTCAGCCCTCAGATCCTGAGGTGGGTGGTGGGTTTGTCAGCCCTCAGATCCTGTGGTGGGTGATGTGTTTGTCAGCCCTCAGATCCTGAGGTGGGTGTTGTGTTTGTCAGCCCTCAGATCCTGCGGTGGGTGGTGTGTTTGTCAGCCCTGAGATCCTGAGGTGGGTGGTGGGTTTGTCGTGAAGGTGGTATGATATTCCTTGCATGTGCACACCACACTCTGTTTGTGTTCAACAATTGTTACATTGTTTGTGTACAACACCTTGCGTGTATGTTATAGGTTGTTGATCAACTTCACTGAGAGTGGCGAGTTGGAGGAGCCTAAGTGGCGCGGGTACCTGTACGCCGCCGTCCTCTTCGTCTTCGCCCAGCTCCAGTCCTTCATCGTGGGTCAGTACTCCATGAAGATGTATCTGGCCGGCCTCAGGATGAGAACTGCTGTCATATCGACTATCTACCGCAAGGTTAGCAAAGATTATTAATGGTTTTGGTGAGTATCTATTACTCTGTTCAAACGTCTATGGTGAAAAACGGAATAATAAATGTTCCTTGTTATTGGGGGAAGGAAATTGTGCCAATCGCTTAGTTAAAGAACTTTCGTTCGTGATCAACACCTTCTGTAGGCGTGATAGACAGCGTCCTGTCTGTCAGATGAACTCCCATTGTAGTAGTCTGCTTCACCCGCTGGTCCTCATGTTGGTGTTGTGTTCTTCAGCTCAGAGAGACTTTAGGAACACAAGTGTTCAACACGCATCATGTTCTCTGCTGTTATCATAGTCAGTCATCCTGAACACTGCCTTCTTCCAAGAAAGTTTGACTGTACTTTTGGCGCCGTCGTCTTGGATCGACGCCCCGCAGATATAGGTCCAATATGAGTGTCAATCATGGTGGCTTTGGTGGTGTGAGATTTCTCAGTCCATGGCCAGATGTTCTAATGAGCAGGCTTGAACTGACCCCAAGGGTATTGTTACAGACTGAGGGTATTGTTACAGACTGAGGGTATTGTCACAGACTGAGGGTATCGTCACAGACTGAGGGTATTGTTACAGACTGAGGGTATTGTTACAGACTGAGGGTATTGTTACAGACTGAGGGTATTGTTACAGACTGAGGGTATTGTTACAGACTTAGGATATTGTTACAGACTGAGGGTATTGTTGCAGACTGAGGGTATTGTCACAGACTGAGGGTATTGTTACAGACTGAGGGTATTGTTACAGACTGAGGGTATTGTTACAGACTGAGGGTATCGTCACAGACTGAGGGTATTGTTACAGACTGCGGGTATTGTTACAGACTGAGGGTATTGTTACAGACTGAGGGTATCGTCACAGACTGAGGGTATTGTTACAGACTGAGGGTATTGTTACAGACTGAGGGTATTGTTACAGACTGAGGGTATTGTTACAGACTTAGGATATTGTTACAGACTGAGGGTATTGTTACAGACTGAGGGTATTGTCACAGACTGAGGGTATTGTCACAGACTGAGGGTATTGTCACAGACTGAGGGTATTGTTACAGACTGAGGGAATTGTTACAGACTGAGGGTATTGTCACAGACTGAGGGTATTGTTACAGACTGAGGGTATTGTTACAGACTGAGGGTATTGTTACAGACTGAGGGTATTGTTACAGACTGAGGGTATTGTCACAGACTGAGGGTATTGTTACAGACTGAGGGTATTGTTACAGACTGAGGGTATTGTCACAGACTGAGGGTATTGTTACAGACTGAGGGTATTGTTACAGACTGAGGGTATTGTTACAAACTGAGGGTATTGTTACAGACTGAGGGTATTGTCACAGACTGAGGGTATTGTTACAGACTGAGGGTATTGTCACAGACTGAGGGTATTGTTACAGACTGAGGGTATTATTACAGACTGAGGGTATTGTTACAAACTGAGGGTATTGTTACAGACTGAGGGTATTGTTACAGACTGAGGGTATTGTTACAGACTGAGGGTATTGTTACAGACTGAGGGTATTGTCACAAACTGAGGGTATTGTTACAGACTGAGGGTATTGTTACAGACTGAGGGTATTGTTACAGACTGAGGGTATTGTTACAGACTGAGGGTATTGTTACAGACTGAGGGAATCGTCACTCCCTGGCCTCATGACCACACTCACCTCCCTGGCCTCATGTCCACACTCCCCTCCCTGGCCTCATGTCCACACTCCCCTCCCTGGCCTCGTGTCCACACCCTCCTCCCTGGCCTCATGTCCACACCCTCATCCTGGCCTCATGTCCACACTCCCCTCCCTGGCCTCGTGTCCACACCCTCCTCCCTGGCATCATGTCCTCACCCTCACCCTGGCCTCATGTCCACACTCACCTCCCTGGCCTCATGTCCACACTCACCTCCCTGGCCTCATGTCCACACTCCCCTCCCTGGCCTCATGTCCACACTCCCCTCCCTGGCCTCGTGTCCACACCCTCCTCCCTGGCATCATGTCCTCACCCTCACCCTGGCCTCATGTCCACACTCACCTCCCTGGCCTCATGTCCACACTCACCTCCCTGGCTTCATGTCCACACTCACCTCCCTGGCCTCATGTCCACACTCACCTCCCTGGCCTCATGTCCACACTCACCTCCCTGGCCTCATGTCCACACTCACCTCCCTGGCCTCATGTCCACACTCACCTCCCTGGCTTCATGTCCACACTCACCTCCCTGGCCTCATGTCCACACCGTCACCCTGGCCTCATGTCCACACCGTCACCCTGGCCTCGTGTCCACACTCACCTCCCTGGCCTCATGTCCAAACTCACCTCCCTGGCCTCATGTCCACACCCTTTTCCCTGGCCCCATGTCCTCACCCTCACCCTGGACTCATGTCCACACTCACCTCCCTGGCCTCATGTCCACACTCACCTCCCTGGCCTCATGACCACACTCACCTCCCTGGCCTAGTGTCCACACCCTCCTCCCTGGCCTCATGACCACACTCACCTCCCTGGCCTCATGTCCACACCCTTTTCCCTGGCCTCATGTCCTCACCCTCCTCCCTAGCCTCATGTCCGCACCCTCCTCCCTGGCCTCATGTCCACACCCTCCTCCCTGGCCTCATGTCCAAACTCACCTCCCTGGCCTCATGTCCACACCCACCTCCCTGGCCTCATGTCCACACTCACCTCCCTGGCCTCATGTCCACACTCTCCTCCCTGGCCTCATGTCCACACCCTCCTCCCTGGCCTCATGTCCAAACTCACCTCCCTGGCCTCATGTCCACACCCACCTCCCAGGCCTCATGTCCACACTCACCTCCCTGGCCTCATGTCCACACTCACCTCCCTGGCCTCATGTCCACACTCACCTCCCTGGCCTCATGTCCACACCCTCCTCTCCGACCTCATGTCCACACTCTCCTCCCCGACCTCATGTCCACACTCACCTCCCTGGCCTCATGTCCACACCCTCCTCCCCGACCTCATATCCACACTCACCTCCCTGGCCTCATGTCCACACCCTCTCCCTGGCCTCATGTCTACACTCCCCTCCCTGGCCTCATGTCCACACCCTCCTCCCTGGCCTCATGTCCACACTCACCTCCCTGGCCTCATGTCCACACCCACCTCCCTGGCCTCATGTCCACACTCACCTCCCTGGCCTCATGTCCACACCCACCTCCCTGGCCTCATGTCCACACCCACCTCCCTGGCCTCATGTCCACACTCACCTCCCTGGCCTCATGTCCACACTCTCCTCCCTGGCCTCATGTCCACACCCACCTCCCTGGCCTCATGTCCACACGCATCTCCCTGGCCTCATGTCCACACTCACCTCCCTGGCCTCATGTCCACACTCACTTCCCTGTCCTCATGTCCACACCCACCTCCCTGGCCTCATGTCCACACTCACCTCCCTGGCCTCATGTCCACACTCACCTCCCTGGCCTCATGTCCACACTCACCTCCCTGGCCTCATGTCCACACTCACCTCCCTGGCCTCATGTCCACAGTCACCTCCCTGGCCTCATGTCGACACTCACCTCCCTGGCCTCATGTCCACACTCCCCTCCCTGGCCTCGTGTCCTCACCCTCACCCTGGCCTCATGTCCACACTCACCTCCCTGGCCTCGTGTCCACACCCTCCTCCCTGGCCTCTTGTCCACACTCACCTCCCTGGCCTCATGTGCACACCTTCACCCTGGCCTCATGTCTACACTCACCTCCCTGGCCTCGTGTCCTCACCCTCACCCTGGCCTCATGTCCACACTCACCTCCCTGGCCTCATGTGCACACCTTCACCCTGGCCTCATGTCCACACTCACCTCCCTGGCCTCATGTCCACACCCTCACCCTGGCCTCATGTCCACACCCTCACCCTGGCCTCATGTCCACACTCACTTCCCTGGCCTCATATCGGGAAGGACTCACCCATCCAGCCAACCCCAAGTTCCTGTGATGCTGGGCTGGGGTTCGTGAGCTCGCTGGAGGCTACGCGGCCGGTCACTGGGTGTGACTGGCAATATATTGTTCACTAATTTATTACACTAGTTTATTGAACTTGAAAGTCTAGCTCTCTAGACGATCTAGGTTCAAAGGATCAAATAATTTGGGAGATTCGAACCGGTTCGGTGCTATCGTAGTTCAAAGGACCAAATAATGTTATGGAACCGACCTGTGAGACATATTTACGTTAATTTATATATTTCGATAGCAATTTGTATGATGTTTAGTGGACTGTATTTCTGCAATATTCTTACAAGTTGACTGCTTGCACATTAGTGGGGGGGTTTATATTAAATTTATATATATGCAGCCAATCAAACTTCAGTATTAAACTACATATATTTATTTATTTATAATGGGAATTATTTCCCATCCTCGTCCTATCTAATGAAAATTGGGAGGCCTTATCTTATTATAAATAAATGTTTATTTAGTTAAGGTACATACATACAAGAGATTTTACAAAGTTTGTTGGATTAGTAGATAGAGCTAGTACATACAATGCCTAAAGCCACTATTACGCAAAGCGTTTCGAGTATTGTATGTTAGGCCTGGTCCACCTGGTGTAAACTGGTGCACCAAGTAATGTACTGCTTCCTCTTCTATTGTTCCTGTCAAAGAACACTTGCTGTAATAGCAGGAATCCTATATATATATATATATATATATATATATATATATATATATATATATATATATATATATATATATATATATATATATATATATATATATATATATATATATATATATATATATATATGTCGTACCTAGTAGCCAGAACGCACTTCTCAGCCTACTATGCAAGGCCCAATTTGCCTAATAAGCCAACTTTTCATGAATTAATTGTTTTTCGACTACCTAGCCTACCTAACCTAACCTAACCTAACTTTTTCGGCTACCTAACCTAACCTAACCTATAGAGATAGGTTAGGTTAGGTTAGGTAGGGTTGGTTAGGTTTGGTCATATATCTACGTTAATTTTAACTCCATTAAAAAA